AGAGAGAGAGAGAGAGAGAGAGAGAGAGAGAGAGAGAGAGAGAGAGAGAGAGAGAGAGACCCCTATCTTTTCTGTGATCAGAAGTGTGCGGTCCCGGTGGGGGAGTTGTCGAAGTGCAGGGATCGCTGCTCAGCAGCGGTAACTTGCTCCTTTCAGCTGCGGATCGTCAAGTGGGAGACTTCAGAGGAACAGAGTGTAATCAATGGATGACCAGGTGGTGATGGACGAAGGGACAGCGGCGCACAGTAGGTAGGTAGGTAGGTGTATATAGAAATTGTCTTGCAGGTTTAGAGCGGTAAGTAGGTGATTTCGCTGAGGACGATGATCGAGCGCGGTTGTTTGCGAAATGGGTTGGAAGGTCGGGGTCGGCGTCGGGGACCGCGGGGCCACTTCCAAGTCCAACAACGACGGAAGCGACGATGGCCGTCATCGTCGCAACCACCGTGGTCGTCGTCGGGATACCAACGATATCATCGTGGTTCTTTGTCCCGCGGCGTTCTCTTCCCTCTTCTTGTTGCTCTCTTCCCCTACTACTACGGAGGAGCCCTGCTGTTCATGACCTTTCTTTCTCCTGTCTGTGTTTCGTCAATCAGTCTCCACACCGCTAGTCCTATTCCAGCGGCGACAATTCCTTATGATATTGTGTTAGACGTGACTCCTGAAGACGATTGCGAGAAGCGGGGTATGGATTATCAGCTAGGGGTGACCCCTGCCTGGGTGTTGGACAAAGCCCGTTGCCCGACCTGTCTAGAGGTTCGTTGCCTGTTTTTTTCCGCAGATTTGTCGTCATCTAGCTTATCGTCGTCATCATCGCCGTCGTCCGATTCGATCGACGGAGAGTCGTCCACGTCAGCCAACGCGTCCACGTCAGCATCGGCAATCCCGACAGCGGACCGTAGATACGAGGGGCAGGGTGGGGGGGGAGATGTAAGAGCAGTTAGGTTGGGTAGTTTTGATCCTGGGAAACGCAAAGCCACGTGTCCGTCGCCGCCCATTGTGAGCGACCGTGTTGTCGTCATCTTTGGGAGGGATTTTCTTGCCTGTCAGTGCGCCAACGTGGGGAGCGGAGGTGAGGGGGGTGGTTCTGCTCTGAGCACCAGCAACAGCAGTAGCGATAGCTGGAGCAACGCTACCGGGATCGGCAATACCGATGGTGGGTGCGTTAGCAAGGCTATGAGGGGGTATATTGGCATCGGGAATTTGAGTCCGGCGTTGGGTGGAAGGGATAATCATGTGAGATCTCAAGAGTCTACTAATAATCCCTATGCTCGTCAGATCATACTGACGTTTATGGTTTTGTGTTCGGGGGTGGCATTCCTGCTGCTGATTGGGGTGTATTGCAAGCGCTCTCGGAGAGTGCAAACCCTGATCTCGAGATTACTGGCTTACGCAGGCTATGGATCGGCTCCGCGAAGTCGAAGAAGACACAACTCGCAGATTGTCATTCTTCCTGAGAATTTGGAGTTATGGGCTCATGTCCTGGGAGTGAGAGCTGCCGATTTGCGGCCGTTAAGCTCCCTGACGATAACGGTCGCTGACGGCGGGGGGGAGAACGATGTGTCTATGACCGTCTTGGAATCTGACGACGGCGAAAACGGCGGGGGTGCGGAGATTCCTCCGGAGACTTTTGTGACCGTTATCCCGCCCAATCCTGCGGATCACATCGGGATCGGGACAAAGATTGACGACATTGAAAGGAATGTTCTCGAGGCATGGCAGGAAGAAGCATCTTCTCCTTCTTCTCCTTCTTCTCCTTCTCCTTTCTCTCCTTCTTCTTCTCCTTTCTCTCCTTCTCCTTCTCCTTTCTCTCCTTCTTCATCGTCGTCCTCGTGTACCGACATGTCTGACGAGTTTTCCGCCGTGGTAGGAGAAGAGATCGATTCTCCGTCGCAACGGGAAAGGCAAAGGGAAGAAAGAGTCGTTCTAACTGTAGAATGAAGAGCGTTAGGGTGTATATTTTCACTGAATTTGGCCGTAATTATGGCCACATACGTCCTGGGAAATCCTACGGCAGTGCGTATGCCCTTGTCGTACTTCATCTCGGAGGGTCGGTCGATCGATAGAAGCGACGCCGGACAGAAGCAGCGAGTTTTGTCTTCCGTTTAGTCGAAGAGAAGACGGGCCAGCAGGGAAAAGAAGAAAGGACAGCAGGGAAAGACGAAAGGGCAGCAGGAAACGAAGAAAGGACAGCAGAGGACTGCAGGGACAACGGGAGAGAAGATGCCAAAGGTGAAGTTGCTGGCGATGACGATTTCTGGATCGTGAGCGGAACCGTGGCTGATCATCGACCTCACAATTACGTCCTCGCAACCACGCGTGCCCCCCTCCCCTTTCCCAGAATGCAGACTACGTTCACTTATCGCGTGTTGTTTGCAAACGC